CTTAACAATATGATAAGATAGGTTGTTAAGAAAGAGGTTTTGAAACTCTTGCATGCTAGGATCATCTATCCCCTCCCTAAAGCGAGTGGGTTAGTTCTATGCAAGTTGTGCCTAAAAATGGAGGCATGACTGTTGTAAAGAATGAACATAATAAATTAATTCCATAAAGAACCATCACAGGATGGCAGATGTGTATTGATTACCGAAAACTTAACAAGGCAACAAAGAAAAGGCATGACTGTTGTAAAGAATGAACAGAATAAATTAATTCCACAAAGAACCATCACAGGATGGCAGATGCGTATTGATTACCGAAAACTTAACAAGGCAACAAAGAAATATCATTTTCTGTTGCCCTTCATTGATGAAATGTTGGAGCGACTGGCAAATCACTCTTTCTTCTATTTCCTTGATGGATATTCAGGTTATCACCAAATACCAATTCATCCTGATGACCAAAGCAAAACCACTTTTATATGTCCATATAGAACTTATGCTTATCGTAGAATGTCTTTTGGACTATGAAATGCTCTAGCTTGTTTCCAAAGATGCATAGTGTCTATATTTTTTTATATGATTGAAGAAATCATGGAAGTTTTCATGTATGATTTTTTGTTTATCAAAAACTTCTGATGATTGTCTTGAAAACTTAGACAAGGTTTTGCAAAGATGTGAAGAAAAGCACTTAGCCCTTAATTGAGAAAAATGTCATTTCATGGTTAGAGAAGGCATAGTGCTTGGACACTTAGTGTCTGAACGTGGGATTGAGGTAGATAGAGCTAAAATAGAAGTAATTGAACAGTTACCTCCTCCTATAAATATCAGAGGTATCCGTAGTTTTCTTGGCCATGCAGGGTTTTACCACCGTTTCATAAAAGATTTTTCACATATTGCTAGACTACGTACAAATCTTTTGGCCAAGGATGTTCTCTTTGAATTTGATGATGCATGTTTGAAATCTTTTGAAATTCTTAAGAAAGCACTCATCTCTACACCAATCATTCAACCCCCTACTTGGTCTTTACCTTTTGAAATTATGTGTGATGCAAGTGATTATGTTGTGGGGGTAGTTTTGGCATAGACAAAAGATAAGAAGCATCATGCAATTGCCTATGCTAGTAAAACTCTAATAGGATCTCAACTTAATTATACAACAACTAAAAAAGAACTCCTGGCTGTTATTTTTGCTATTGACAAATTTAGATCTTACTTAGTAGGAGCTAAGGTGATTGTTTACACTGATCATGCTGCTTTGAAATACCTGCTCACTAAGAAGGATGCTAAACCATGTGATTAGGACATCCCAACCATACATGCTAGATCAAGTATCAATCATCCACCATCCAACATAAAAGACAGAAATCAAGGGCCACTTACAAGAAGTCGCTCCAAGAAACTACAAGAGCAGGTGAATTCATTCCTAACTGATTATAATTTCAACACTTCTAAGAATGTTATACTACCTAAATGTTCTATCTTGATGTTGCTCAGGTATACACATGAAGACATGGAAGACCAAATGGATTCATTAAAAAAGTAGTATGGACGGACGACCGGACCCAGGAAAAAGTAATGCGGACGAATGACCGGACCCCAGAGAGAAAAGTAGCATGGATGGACAACCGGACCTTAGAAAGAAACATCCATAACTTTTGAATCCTAAAAGTTATGAAGGTCCATGAGGACATTTTAGAAAGCTTATCAAGTCTACTTTCCATTGGTAATGGTTTCAAATATTTTGGACTTCCAAGTAATGAGATACGTTCAGATTAGTGAAGACTACTTAGAAGGTCAATGAGTCTTCCCGGGACAGAATGTCAGTGCAACTTCCCATGCAAAACCGTACCATTCTACAATGTTTCATGATGCATGCTGCACATGGACGAAAGCTTATTGAGTCTACTTTCACACCTAACAAACAACTCATTATTTCAACTTCCCACTAGGGAGTGACAACTATTTAGTGGAGACTGCTCTAGAAACTGTCAGTCGTGTGAAGACACTTGGAAATCCATTTCATGGAAGTCTTTTCACATACTCTATATTTTCATTTCCATCTCGTGTTCATACCTATCTAGGAGGGTTGTTCCTAGTATAAATATCCCTGTGCTCCCAAGCAAACAAAGATTTTTGATAATAAAAAACTAGAACCCTTTTTGTTTAGTTGTGTGCTAACAAAACTCAGAGTGATCTCTACCCCTTTGCTCTTGTGATTTCCTTCGCGGGATTATAGAAGTGGCGGCTTCATTTGCTCCCAATTGGTTGTATAACCTGGTTTTAAGGACAAACCCAGATACGCACCATATGTGAGCCCATAAAGTCAAATCTCACATATAGCTACAAATAAGGGTAATATCAAAAGACAATGCTCAATATATAACGTACTTAGTATAAAGGATATAACCTTAGACATCAAACAACGGCAAGACAACTCTGATCTTTAGGTGAAGACTCCAACTCCGCAGGGACAACTGACTGGTTGATCACAAGCCTAATTTCTCCAAACTCTAGCCATCTGGTACCCATCCGGGATTTTTCCAAAGATTTAAAAAGTAAAGCAAGCGTAAGCACATGTACTAAGCAATATAACATGGGGTTCATGAGGCTCAAAAGGTTGACACTGGTTTACTACGATTAGCTTTTAGTGAGTCACAATTTTAATAATTGAGTGGCAACAAGTTTATTCACAAGCCCACATAAACACATGATCAGGTAAACATGAATAATGAATAGGATAAACAATTAACCATTAATGATCATCTATTCCGTAAGAGTTCCAAGGCTGCTCATGACCATGAGCACAGCTGTTATAACAATTTTACACTCTGCAAAGGTTGTACACTTTCACCATGAGCTGTGATTTACCGTTTCGCCCGAGGTCGTGAGCCTCTTAACCCACTACCAAGGAAGGTCGGCAGGGTTCACTATGAAGCCTTTCAAAGGTTTGTCTAACAAGTTAGGGCCGCTAGGTTTCCAATTGGCTAACAGATGTAGAGCTCCCCTTCCAAATGGCATAATAACGCGCAGCCTATACACATAAGGACGGAGGTCACACTATACCCAATTCGTCAAGCCCCTCTTGCGCCATAAAGGTAACCACTAACAAGCTAGAAAAGGTCCTCATACTTGACTAAAGCCAGAGCCATGTGTCACTCATGGTTGTACTGTAAGTCCCGGTTCACCACTTATAGATAAGTCCTTAGGGAGAGGAATCTAGAGCACCATAATAATAGCCCAATGCTCTAGCCCTCTTGAGCCATGTTGCTAAAAAGCATCTTTTAGTGTTTATTGCATATACCATTAGTTAAGTCACAAGATCATGGTTATTTAATTGAGCACTAGCAAAGTACTACCCAATGCATAATCCCACGGTGTCAAGGTACAAGGTACAAAAGCTAGGATATCCATACAGGAATTAAGGTAGACACATGCATATGAATTAAGTGACATTAGAGTGAATAGGTAACAAGGATGATCCCATGCTATACTTGCCTTAAACACACATCCTTCTTCTACAGAATTGTAACCTTCAAAGGACTTCTTCTTGATCACCAACTTCTATATCACCAAACGTACTTCTCACTGACTGGACAAGATCATAAAGCACCACACAAGCATCCGAACAGACATGCATAACATACAAATATGACTAAATTAGAACAGTACACCAATCAATAAAAAGGTTTGGAAACTAATCTACACATTGCTACCAACGCAAAGAGGCGAAAACCAGGCTAATTGCAGCTATGGCGAAAAGAAACAACTATCATAAAGTTATTTTATAGAGCAAAAGGAAAACTATAGGCTTTGTTTATTTTAATCATATAAAAGCATGGACAATATATTTCAAAGAAATATCTAAATTTGATTTAACCAAATTATATTTGATTTAGAAAACCAAGATACAACTAATCTTATTTTGTTTAGAAAAGTTTGAGGTGGAAAAACCTAAATTGTTTTTAATGGGAAACTAATTGCATATAGATTGATCAAATTAACATTTTATTTGAAAGCACAAAACAGGCTAAACAATGCTATAACTCTTTGTTTCAATCTATTATCCTAGTGAGTTTTGTTAAGTTTCGGTCCATTAGAGTCTTTGTTTTATTTGCTGATAATGTTATCCTTCGTGTGTCCTTTGAGCTTCTTTTATATATATTTCTAAAATTCCCCACAAAAAAATCTGAAACTGTTATCATCTTTCGTGTAAAGCTTTGATCCTATCAAGTTATAACTACTGGTTATGTCTTGTTTATATAAAAAAAGTGTGCAAGTTTTATATCTGATCTTGTTGTTAGTTCTATATAAAAAAGTGTGTCAAAAAAAGAGAAGTTGCAAAAAAAAGTTGAGAAAAGTTGTGACAGAAGAGTTTAAAGATCAATTTGTTTTTGTACATAAGTGCTGAAAGTTTCATCAGTTGCATAACTAGATTTCTATCTATCCTTTGGTGCAAAATTTTGCTTGGGTTTGATTGCAACACTTGCATCCTAAGCATACTCCTTGTTTGCATCAAATCTGAATATTCTTTGTGCGTGTGTTTGATCCAATTACATCACTCATATCCTCTGGTCAGTACTAGGCATTGAACTTCTAGTTTGGACTAGGATTTAGCTCTACAATAACTAGAATTCAGATTGCATTCCTTGTGAATCATTCCCCACCAAGCTCCACATATAAGCCATCGTAATCGCTACACCGATCTTGTATTCACTTAACCATTACTTTCTTGTTACGACCCACTTTAATACCACCACACTTTGCTTTACTGTAATCTGCAAGAATTCATAAGAGTTTTGATTGGTAAGAGAGGTGAGGTTGTGAGATTCTACATATTTTTTCCTATTCCACATATATTTGTTGTTTGGCTTAACTAACTCCACAGGAAGATGTCTAAGAGACCAATTGAGATTAATGATTATGTAACCATGGCACAATTCAATGAACTAAGGCAAAGCATGGAAGACAAGCAAGATTGGTTGGCACAAGATCTTTAGGCCCTCATGGTTGAAATTAAAGGACGTCGCCAACCTCATGATGGTACAAGCAACCAAGGCGAAGATGCTGATGAAATGGAAGAAGCTGCTACTCGACTTGCAAGAGAACAACAAAGACGTAGAGAGCGAACTGCTGCACATGCGAGAAGGCCTCCACCTCGAGGGCGTGGAGATGGTGGTAGAGGTGTTGATCATAATCATGGAAGAGGTCTTGGACTAAAGGGAAGTGGGACTGAAGAAGAGGAGAAAGAAGAAGTGGTTGAACAGCCCCATAATGATGGCCATCATCACCGAGGGAATCATGGGCGTAATCAGCTCAATGAGGAGAGATTTGGCAAGCTAAAATTTAACATGCCCAAGTTCGATGGAGGGTCTGATCCTGAAGCATATCTTACATGGGAATTGAAGGTTGATAATTTTTTTTGCCTACACAATTATTCTAAGCAGAAGAAGATGGTAATGGCTGCTCTAGAGTTTGATGGTTATGTTCTAATCTGGTGGGAATAAATGCTCAATGATAGAGAAGAAGCTGGTCAAGGTGAATGTAATAGAACCATCTAATTTATAAGAGCACAAGTACAATAACAATCACCGAAGCGATCAAACTATCATACTTGAGCCCATATAAACCCGGTAGTCCAATGAAATCATGAAGGATCTCAAACCAACCAACATACAAGCCAAGATCATACATGATTCAACATAACAAGTCACATGTTACATCACAGTTCACAAATGGTTCACAAGTATCTCACATACATTGGAGTTCACATAGTTATTACAAACCAAGTTCAAATAGCGGAAGCAAAGTAGTTTAACATCAACATCACACTTAGATCAAATACATGCCAGTACCATAGTCATTTCCAGCAAAAGCATAACAGAGAGGATAACTTAGGAGTACCATGCCCCATGGTTTAGTCCTCATCCATGGTAGGATGAAGGCAGTTCTTATAGTACCCATAATACATCATATCATCTACAACAAGATGGAATAAACCCTGAGTATGAAAATATACTCAGCTAGGAGTATTCATGGCTTTATCGATGGAGTTAGCATGACAACATTTTGCATAAAAGCTTAAGTAACATAACTTGGAGATTTAATATCTTTAGCATCAAATTGAATACCTATTCAATTAAGCATCTCTAGATTAGCACCTGTACTAGAACAATCATGTGATGAAGCTAACAAGCATTAGTAACCATATCCAGGGTATTAATTTGAGCATCATCATAACCATCAAGTTCCTTCAATTAATGCTACATTGTCGCTGCTCAGTCAAGTTCTCACTATCTGGGAGAGACGACGACTCAAATCGATTCCAAATAGCTAGGGAGTTATTCCTAACACAAACCCATACTTCCCCTGTCGGGGTCACATCGGGTCACCTTTGGTACAACTCAGGTACAGTCGCAGGTCCGATCAACGCCACACCCTCAGGGATACTACCAGTCTGCTAGGAAGTTCAGGCCCGGTCTGCCTTTGGACTCACGCCACTGGCTCCCCGCACACCCTTACTTCCTCCAGTGTGTGCACTTTCACTTATCGGGTCCTAGCCTAAGTTGAGCTACTCGGCTTCGCGGTCGGAACGGCTTATCCGGCCAACTAAGTGCTAGGCATGCGTTCAACATGACATAAGGACGTACACCGAATCGGTCCTTAACCGACATAGACGGGGATAAATAGGCACCAAGACCTCCATGCCTTGTTGCTTCTCTATCACAATCCCACCCGGTCTCCTTTTATTCATCAACACATGGTTTTTTCCACGATAGCAATTATAGCCAACCGTGACTAGATATCTACCTACATCTTGTAGGTGATAGGAAATCACCCGACTTCTACCGGGCTAAGCATGGTTAAGCATATATTTGATCCTGGACCTACATAGGATTCAAGATATATTTGTGTGGACAAGAAAAGTATATGTAGCAAGTGGTTCCAATCAACCCCTAGTACTTAATGCATCAACATAAAAGGACTCAAGTTGATATTCAGAAAACATAGGAGGCTTAGAATGCTCTGGGCTTGCCTTTCAGAAATGAGGAAGGTTGGTGATTAGGACACTTAGGAAGATCTTCCACATTAACTTCTCCTTCCACTTGAACCTCCTGCTCCTGGGCTGCCTGCTGCTCCTCCTGACGCTCGGGTTCGAACTCGAGTAGCGTCACTCCTTCTATGGAACCTATTGCATGCATATGCACTTATGAGTATCATGAATGCATAAGAGATGAGATGACATGATGAAGTGTATTTGCATGAGCATGGTTATCCACAAGATGTATGATAAGTTTAACATTCGTTGACCAAGTAGATGTATAACTTTCTTCTAGTTGATCTTTACTGAGTAGGTGCATATCTCTTCTATAGTACAAGAAACATACACTCACCAAGTTCTAGTAACCTAAGGTAATGTTATTCATCATCAATATGAGGCTTAGAACCTACAGCTAACAACTAATCTCAATTAGACTAAGCATCTACACAAGCATCACATAAGACAAACAATTACAATTTGACTTAGTTATTTCTTGGACTGTAAACAACAGCTAATTATTTTGGCCATATCTGGAGTTCTACTCAACCAAATACTATAATCTTGGACTTTATGGAAAGCTTATAAAACTTACTACAACTTTCTTATAGTCATCTCAAGATGATTTAATGGCTATCAAGGTCAAACAAAGCAATTTCCTAGATCTATCCAGAAATTCCAGAGAATAAGCATTTGTGGTGACCAACTTCCAACAGCTATAACTCTCAAACCATTTAGACTATTGTCATGAAAATTTGACACAAGCAATATAAGTAAGTTATCTACAACTTTGTTATTGACAGGATTCACAGCAAACATTATTTCACCCATGCAATTTACTTAACAATAGAAACTGTCCAAAACAGTCACTACAATTGAATTATAGAGCAATTAATATTTCACCACATACAAGCAATCAAATCTGGGCACAACCAATGGTACCAATAGTTCATTGGCATCATATACACTTTAGAAAACATAATGGTCAAGCCCAAATAAATTATTGAAATGCCTTTATTAATATATTTGGACACTAAGGTGAAATAAGGAACATATATCAAAAGTGCACAGTAAATTCTGAGACAATTACAGTAGCTCATATATGCTTCCAATAAGCTACTGTATAAATTTCATATTCTTCTTAACCTCATCTTAGCACAATAACACTGTACAATTTTTTTTTGCATGACCATATGTTACCTATTTTTATTCTAATGAATTTCACCAGAAATCACCATTTATTTAGGGTTAAATAGAAAGACCCTATTCAAAATTGATTTACTATGGGTTTATCATTTTTCTAGCTAGAGCATGTTAATACAAACTCAACAAAATTAGAATCATATTTTTATCGCTTCCCTTGCTCAAGATATGCATTTTACAAGATTTAAACTAATTGAAAATCACTTTATTTGCCCAATTTAATTTCCCCAAGAAACATGCCAGAAACTATGTATTTTATATTTTTAATAAATACTACACTTCCTAAGGAAGTTAACCAATTGGAATCACTCAAATTGGATAACCCTATCTCCAGATATGAATTTTTGAAACATGTATTCAAATCTATGAAATAAATAAAAGAAATTAAAGAACATACAGACTGACAGATGGGGCTCGCGGTCAACGGGGCCCGCTCATTAGTTAGACCAGCACAGGGCACGACATTTGACCGGCGAGAACTCGTCGACGGTGAGGTCTCCAGTGAAACCCCAGGCACCATTGTGTTCCTCTCGTCAACCTGCACCCAGGGGTACCCCAGGTTGGGTCAGCGACTCATCAGAGCAAGCTCACCAGCGAGCAAGGCGGATGACAATGGTCGCGCAATGGCGTGCCGGTCATCTCCGGCCACGGCAGGCTTCGGAGATGATGGCCCTACCTCTACGGTGACCTAGCACATTTCTAGAGCAAGATCTAGCCACGGTGCAGTAGTGGGGGAGCCTGACCTCGTGCATGGCGGCACGGCAGCGCCTAGCGCACATGGCGGGGCTCTCCGTTCCACCTAACTAGTGGCAAGAGGTGGGTCTCCATCTTCTCGGTAGGAGCTAGGGTTCGTGGCCATGCACAAACATCTTCGAGCGGGGGATGGCGAGACCTAGGGGCTGCTGGCCATGCGAGCTTGAGTTCGCGACGGTGCGTTCCCGCGTGATGGTACGGTAGCATCTACGCTAGCTCTGGCCTAAGTAGCAGTGACCTAAGGCAACTACAGACTGGAAGATAGGAAGGCAGGAGATGCAGTGGAGCGGCCTGGCCACGATAAGCCAAGAGCGCAGCGGTGCTACGGTGGCAACGGCGACAACAACGAAGCGGAAAGCCGCTTTACCTCGGTTCGAAGGGTGGCACTGGTGGCTCGAGGAGGTAGGGGTGATGGTGGAGTAGCTGTGGCCAAGAGGAATCGACCAATGGAGCTACAACGGAAGCGAGCAAGCTCGACTCCACTCTAGTTGGGCGCGGCAAGAAAGAGAGAGTGAGTGGGAGGGAGCAGCAGGGGCACGGCCCTCTTGTCCGCGTGCTGGCCCGACCGGCCTGGCTGTCGCCGACGTATGGCCACAACATGGTGGCAGTGGCCTAGCGTGGTCGGCCACTGACACCGCATGCATTCGTGATCATCAGAGCTCGGCGTGCACTTCTGATAGAGCAACTTTGTGACCATGTAACTCATAATCTGTGACGAGTCAGTGCAAGGTGTGTAAACAAATCTTGTAGAACTATGTAAGGGCTACAAGATTGCTTTAGAAATCATCTTCTAATTCGCAATGGTTTGGATGTTACATCACCTCAAAGTCAGGTACGTTGAAACTGCAATCAGCTCCAACACTTGGATTTTTTTTTCAATGTCCAAAATAGTATTTTCTTGCTACTTGTGAGCTACTTTTGAGCATGCTATGCACTGAATTAGGTCTTGGCCCAAAAATGAAAGTTGTTACTCTCATAAAGTACTACAACTTTTCTTAAGGGTGCACTACCATGCAAGCACTCTAAAGCATAGTTCAACTTTGGTCAAACTAGTAACTTGAAAATTGGAGTTTCTAGAATAACTATGACTTGGGGGCTATTTTGGTGCATGTCATGAATACCAAACTTGTTCCATGTACCATACTAAACATGTTAAGGTGTTTCTATGGCCCCACAAGCATTTCATGCATTGGTCACACACAATGGCAAGCATATACATGCATATAGCTATCATCACATGTAACAAAAGTAAGGTGATTGAGATAACACTTCATATGCTTAAGCTCATGGATGCTCAACTGATGCTCATGCTCATGAATGTAAGTGACCAATGCATGCTTAACACTAGGGGGTTATATCCCCTCCCCCCTTATAGGAATCTCATCCCGAGATTTGAAAGACCTACCATTTTTCGTAGAAAGCGGGATAGACCTCACGCAGATAATCTTCCTGTTCCCACATAGCATCTTGCTCACTATGATTATTCCACATCACTTTATGAAACTTGATCAC